TTTATGGCTGTGCAGCAGTTTTGTGCACACATAAGCGCCTGTGACACCTTTGGCAGTGCCAAGAGCCCACACATCAGCCGGCGTTGACAGCATGCCTGGCACATGCCTGAGGGGCTGGGAAACTTCCCTTCTATAATTGCATCCCATGTCAACCTGTGACAAGTCAGGCTCAACCAGCAAGGGAGCTCACTAATCACCGGCCAGACCTCCTCCATATCTTCTAGCCCCCTCCCAACACTCAGCCCTCGATTCTTACCCGTCCACACTTTCACACAAAAGGAACACACTTCCAATCAAGCGATCTGTTGTTTGCATCTGTTGGGGTAGCACCCCTGAGCAAGCCATTACATCCTCCTCTCGGCACCTGATGCCATCAGCGTGACTCTGCAGTCAAAGCAGCTCTGTCTCATTAGTCCTGTTCTTAAGGAGTGTCTGTTAATGAAGCAATTTCCCAAGTATACCATCTGTTAGTCTCACCGGCGCTCTGTCGCTGACACATTTTACTCATTTAATGTTAATTAAAGCAAATTTGTTAAAGTTAGTGGGGGAATGAAATAATTTTCCCTCCACTCTTACAGGCTCAGTAGCTGGGGAATCATGAGCTCCTTCACACCTCCCAGGAAGAACCAGTGAGACCGACAGATCCACGGTTCTCCATCTGTGGTATTTAGGCTGCTTTTAATGGGACTCACAAGATAATTTGGTTCCAAGTCACTGGTAATGAGAAATGTATAAATCTTATATTTCACCTTTAATTATACACATAAATCTTCTTGAGACAGATGGCAAAATTTTCAAAAGAACCAGTTTAACGGTATTGTTAAATCGGACAAATTACCTAAAAATATAAAATGAAACCAGGATGCAACAGTTGTTTCTGTTATCATTAATAGGGTGTTGCTTTGTTTAACGCACACAGTGCTGTATAACAGTATCTCCTGACCTACAGATTTAAAGTTTGGCTTTTATTTGTCACACTTGCATGTTTCAGCTCATCAAACTGATGCAAATATAATCAGAGTGGAAGTTAAAACTAGAGGTAAGCATCAGGTAATTAATTAAGCATAGGAAGGAACAGCTTCCTATAGATTTTAGCTGAAGCTAATGCTAAAGCATTAACTTTGAGTTCAATGATGTCTGCTTTTGAAAACTATAATCTAACCCTTAATTTTGACATTATAATTTACATATGGTGTAGGCATTATATTTATATTTATATACTGTCCATGTTTTATTTTGTTTTTGTATGTTTGAGGGAGAGAAAATGGGGAGAGGAAATGGAACTGCTTCTTAAACACTTCAAAATAAGAGCAAGCACATTCATGCTCTTATTTTGTAACAGCTGATGACCTGAACTTCAACACAGGTGTCAACCTTTATTAAACTGAAAGTTTACAAACAGCCAAGTATGTTAGTGCTTCATCATTTACCTGGAAAAAATCATTTTCAGGGCGACAGATAAGTGTATTAAATGTTTCCAGAGTTAGCGAAAGCGCTAAAAGGAAAAAATTAGCTCAGTTTTCGGCGGATTCGAGGAAGTGTGCCCTCTACTGATTCAATCAGTTTACAGATAATGTGGTAAGAAAGTTTGCAGTAATCACCCTCTACAACTGTTTGTGGGAACTGGAGGAAATTTGACCCATTTGTCTAAAGACATCCATTCAACTTCTTTTTTCAATATGAATGACTTGTATAAGAACTTGGACTAGTTCTGCTTAACAAGAATATAAATTTTAAAGACGGATCGTTAGTTATTTTATAGTTTGAGCTGATGGAAGAAACTTCCAATAATGTCAGACTGAGTAGAACTGTCTGGTCCAGCATCCGGTTCTCTCTGGGTACTCCAGCTTTCCCCCAGATATAAAAGACAAGCATGTTGAGGCAAACGGTTGCTCCATGTTGCCCTTTGTACTGGCCTTGTTTGTGCATGTGTCTTTTCTGTCTCTGTGTTGACGTGTGACAGACTAGCGATCTGTTCAGATTGTACCAACCACTCACCTCTGACTGGCAGAGGCAGACACCTAATTCCTGTCTGGATTACGCAGAATGCAAAATGATTACAAATGACTACAAAAAGAGACATTTATTTGAAGGCTTTTTACAAACCTTTACCAGGTATCAGTAAGTCACCACAGCCAGTTTCAACAATGTGATTTTGGACCAAGAGGAGATTGTTTGAATTGCAGGTAAAGGTGTGTTGGTGAAAGTCTGCATAGTCAAAGTCCTCTTGATCTTTGGCGTAAGATATCAATGTGTGTGTGTATGTGTGTGTGAGACCACATATTTGATCTGTGGTGAATGATGTGTGTGAGTAAGTGAGAAAGCGAGCGACACGGTGCGGCTGCCTCCTACCTCCTACAGATTGAGGTGAGAGCAGCCAGGTGGGGCTCGGTCGTGTCTGTGCGCCACAGTAACTGGATGTGATGGCTGGCCTCTGGGGATCTCTGCCTTAGAAGTGCTAAACGAGCGAAGCAGAGCAATCACACTGTTCCTGGATGTGTGTGTGTGTGTGTGTGTGTGTGTGTGTGTGTGTGTGTGTGTGTGTGTGTGTGTGTGTGTGTGTGTGTGTGCATGTCGCGAGCCCACACCCTCCTTTATATGGTAGTGAGTTGGCTTTCCTGTTGACTCCAAGTGGGTGTACGTGTCTCCAGTAAAGGACGCTGCATTTATCTGGGATCTAAATATAATCACTATGATAAGATAAGATGAAAAAGCTGAAGATGTTTTTAAATGTTGCCAGGTAACAAGCCCTTTACGTAACAAATCCCCAGCATGGCCGCAGGTCATTGCGGTGATTCTAAATGTTGCAGACAGTCCACATGGGGTAGCTTGACTCCAGTTAGAAAGGTGGTAACAAGACACTGGTTCCAGTCTAAACATTGCAAACTCAAGCTTCTTCAACCACCTCCACCCACCTTGCCTCAATGTGATTGTTAGCCTGAAGCCCCAGAAAGGGCAAACTACCCCCGTACCCTTCATTAACCACATGGAATTGACATAATTCAATTAACGAGCAAAAAAATTTTCTCCCCAAGAGAGGAGAAAGTGTTTGTGTACATTTCTGCCTTTTGCACACCAGCTGTGACTCTCCGTGTCCTCATGCACGCACTTGGATTACACGTGCAACCTGCTAAATGAGCTCTCATGCCTACGAGAGCAAAACAAACGAGTGTGTGTCACAGGTTGCGTTCTTGCCGCGGGCAAACCGAGGCCCCGGAGGTGACACTACCGAGGCCTCGGTTTGCAATGGAGCGCCACGCGCCCCCTCTGCCCCCCTCCTGCCGCATCGCGTGCCGCCCAAGCCGAGGTGAATGCCAAGAAGTCTCCGAGCCACTCCATCAAGCAGCGGCCCCCTCCCACCCCACGGGAACAGCAGCCAATGAATTACAGATTAGATCATTGTTACAGGATCATAACAGTGATCTAATTGCCAATTTCTCTTTTTAATTGAATTTGGTGGAGTGAAGAGGACGGAGATGGGATTCATGGGACACTGTGTGGAGCCGATTGGAGTCAGTCTGCTGTTGACCGGGCGCAACACTTAATGAGGGGAAAAATCCCGCCGCTTGACATTCGGCTGCAAACTGGGCGTCAACTGCAGAAATGTCAGGCTTAATATCCTTGACCGTGGCTCTTGTTTGGACTGCGTCTTGTTTTTTAGGTATTTTGGGTGTTGATTCAGATCAGATTCTATTCACATGATCATGAATCCCAGTTATATTCTGGATTCATTCTGAATGTTCTGATTTCTGCAGAGTGTTTTTTCCTTTCTCCAGCCATTTTATGTGGACTGTGAAACTTGAACCTGCTGCTCTTTGACCCGGGCAGAGCTAATTGGAGTTTGTCTCTGGCTCCATGCCCTCGCCCAGTCTTTCTCACCCCTCGCTTCTTGAAATCACGTTCCCAGGCTGCACTTGTGCCAGCTATCTTTTTCAAGGAATACCAAAGGTTTTAAAAAAGTCAGTGTCAAAACAGCCCAAAATATGTTCCGAAACTACTTTTTTAGTAGCTGGGTAGAGATGAGCCAAATAAGAAGTAAGACTTTTCTCATTTTCCTCATGAAACCCAACACAATGCATTGCTCTCTGGGGTTTAATGTGGTCTAATGTGGAAAAACATCAAAGGAGGTAAATACTTCTCTGCAAAAGCACCAAATCTTACCAAGTACTTTTATCTAATGTCTTGTTCACAAATGTTAGTACACTTGAAATAAGACAAAACTAGCATGCAAGTGACTTTTCAGCAGGAAACAGCAGCTGGATTTAGGTCAATAACTCCTTATGTACTAGTACTGGTGATATGTTATTTAACCTTTAACGAGACATTTTCCCATGTTATAAATGGAATAATCTGCTGGTTGAACTTGCATATTTTTAAAAATCAATAATAAATAATTATTGACTTATATCAAGCTCCTATTCCTTGCAGAAAGGTTACTTGTAAGTAAGTTTTGTCTAATTTTAAGTGTACTAATAGACCAAAAATACTTGGTGAAATTTTGTGTTTTTGCAATGTTGAGTGGCACTGAAGCTATGACAATCAAAATAAAAAATGTACATGTTAGATTACCTTTGCATGGATAAAATGCTATTTTTCAGTGAGAGTCGGATAGCGGCCCATGACGTCTGTCCAGTCTGACCATAAATGAGCCGGGAGTGTTGTCTGATTATAGCTGGGTTAAATTAGATGAGATAAGTTAGCCCACATCTCCTCATCAGCCGTACGTGAGAGCTGACAAGCCCAATACATCTATGGCCACTATGGTAATTGAGGCGGGGAGGTGAGGAGGGTGTGTGTGTGTGTAGGAGCCTCCCTCTCTCTCCTGATCCTCAGTACCTGTCATTGATGAGGAGCCAAGGAGAAGCTTCAGCTTGGAGCTGTCATCGGCCTTCTGAACACATCTGCCTCTCTCTATCAACCCTCCCTTCCTCTGTCTGTCTGCGTGTGTGCAGGGGTGTGTGTATGCGTGTGTGTTCACAGCGAGTGTTGTGTTTCTGCAGAACTCGGCGTTGGAGGTGTTTGAATCGGAGCAGACGGACTGGGATGTAGGCACCGCCGAGACCGACGCTCCCTCTCCCGGACTGACAGGCCAATCGCAAGCCACGATTCGCCCTGCCTCTGAATCTCTCTCTCTCTCTCCCTCATCCTCTCTCGCTCTCTCTCTCCAGTTTCATTCCTTAGCGCTCTGCTCGTGTATCCCCTCCTCCTCTTCCTACTTCTCCTCCTCCTCCTCCTCACACCTTTTGGTCAGAAGAGGAAGAGGAAGCCCAGCCCAGGGAGAGACGCTGAGAGGATGAAACTCTGACACGCCGGCAGACCACAGGGAAACAAGAGCACAACTGTGAGTACAGCAGTCCTTTCACCTCTCACTCAGGCTTAACGCTGTCACACACACTTTGTGTCACACACACACGTGTCTGGCGCTTTCACTTCAAACACTCCACTGACTTCACTCCACATGCTCGCCATCCATCCTCTGCTCAAGTGTCTTTGTCTTTTCCAGGCAGGCAAAAATAGAAATCAAAAGAACTGCATTTTTCTCTCTCTCTTAATGTGTTCAAGCTTGTTTATTTCTGTGTTCCTGCAGCTGACACCGTAGTCAGAACCAAACACAAGCATAAACAGTGCAGAAAAAGTCTGGTTTATACTTTTTGGACACTTGTGTTTTAATCTGTCTTTGTTTCTCACATTAAAACAGAAGGTCTGGATGTGTGGAGCTGCTTTTTTCTGCGCACCTCTCATGTTTTTATTGCAATAAAGGAATGTGGGCTCGCCACATGAGGGAAAGCGAGGCTGTTTAATCTCCCATCCTAAACGTATAAGCTGCTGTAACCAATAGAAAGGGGCGTACTCTCTTCTCAATGGCACCGTCCCCGCTGCTTATTATTTAGCTCTCAGCCGGGGGTGCTGGGGGATTGGTGGCATGGGGAAGGGGGGCTGAAATGCTCTGTTTGCGTCACACTATTTTCTGATTATTCTCCTAGTTCATCTCTGGCTGAGGCGATTTTCCTATTTCCTTCTCCCATTTTGAGAGAGCATAATAGGCGCTCAAACACACGCGGGGAAGTGCATACAGTGGATCTGTGCAGAGGACACAGATTGCATTCCCTCCGGAGAACGCTTTGCTGTTTTAAAGGCACTGGAGGGGCTGCTCGGCACTTGTCATCAGCTTGGCCGGTAATGCCGGCGCGGGGAGCGACGCAGACGGCGTGTTTACGGCCGCTCTCTGATTTAAAGAGCTCCCATTGGCCCTAATGCCTCAGCTGCACGGCTCTGGCCCCATGCATTCCCGGTTATTACATCTGTAAAGCCCTGGATATTGTGCAGCACTTCACTTGCCAAGACGATCTGATGAGCAAATGTAGAAAATGAAAACACATATATGTTAAACACTCGGCAGTATATTAGATTTGCTGCTGAGCTCCAAACTCCTGGAGTGAGAGATGAAGCATTTGCATTTTTATGATGTGGCTCAACGTGGATTGCTTTTCCCCTCCTCACATCTATGTTTAAAACTCAATCACAAGTACGCCAAGGTTTGCTGTTTGCAATTACATGTCTTGTCATTTCTAATTCTAATGATTTTCTGGCATGTTCCGCCGCCATAGGTGATATTTTTCATGTTTTCTGAGTTGCTGAATCTAAATGAGGGATTGATTTGGAGCGTTAGAAACACGCGGTGGCTCTCGGGACCCGGCGAGCCTCCAGTTGCAGATGTGTCAGCAAAACTGAATAAAAAGGCCGAGATTGACATCCCGGTCTGCCCGGCCTTGGCAGGTTTTCTGAACCCTGGTGGTTTAAAACAAGTGCACTCTCCATTAAATCAAGGTAAACAAGACAATTACGTGGCCTGTCCTCCTCTGGTTGCTCCCGATTCTCTTCAACACTCCAAAATCCCAAAGTCTTACCAAGTATTTTTGGTCTGTTTTCTAGTCAAATGTCTTGAAAGGAGACCAAACTAACTTAACAGTAATTTTTCTGCAAGGTGTAGCTTGTTTTAAGTCAGCAATTACTTTAGTACTAGTTCTACCGGCAGATTATTCCCATATATGTTTGGCTAACAGTGTACGTTTGTTGATAGAAATTTTTAACTTTTCTAAATTCCTGTCTCATCCAGCTGTGCTACCTCTTATTTAAACAAGTGATTGATTTTCTTTGCATTATTGTAGTTTTTGTTTTGTTACTGGTTTGAACACCGTAAGTTACTTAGTTACTCTGAGTAACTTGATGAGAATACTCTCCTGCTACTTCTAAACCTTCACTGCAAAATCACAAATTCTTACCAAGTCAAGTTTGCAATGCAAATATACACTTGAAGCTTGTTCGTTTTTATGAATATTAAGCAATTTCTGACCAAAAATAAGCTTCTGTATCTCATTGAAAAGTTACTTCTGAGTTAGTTTTGTCTTATTTTAGATATTTCTACTTGAAACTTGACCAAAGAGTTTATGTTTTTGCAGTGAACAGGTGATCAGCTCAGACGTTTAACATTACAACAGAAACTTTTGAGAAACTTAGAGGGGAGGAAGATTACAAAAGCCACATCGCAAAAAGTAATTTAAACTCCCTCAATTAATGCAACCCTCATTTCCAAGTTGCCTGTGGCCTTCATGTGAATTGTATGTAATTTAAATGCAGAGAGCCCATCTGCGTCTGACGGAGTCGCTGACCAATTTAAATGGGGCTTTTCCTCGTTGTGTCATTGTGCTGAAATGTATTGAGGAAAAAGTTAATAGCCTTTTATGCAAGGAAACATATTTAATTACACATATCGTTCAGTGGTACCCCAGAGGTGCTTTTAACTTTACTCTGAGCTGTGCAGTTATTAGACGGCTTGTAAAAGCGAGATAAGCTACTGTCACACCATATTTACTTCCATCAGCGTGTGTGTTTATGCATTTATTGATTAGATAGTTGGTTACCAGTCTTGACCATCAATACACATCCCTACAAAGTGGGGACCAGATAGTCTTCCCACTCTCCCTGAAGGCTCAATTACACAGCATGCACAAGGAAGAGGGTGGGGGCTCCTGACAAGGTCGAATTATATGTGTCAGCTTTAAATCATTTATTCAGCCATGTCTGAATGTATAAAGAAAGACACTTTCAGGGAGTCAATAAATGTTGCATGGCGCTGCTTTTTAAACATTTTAATCAGATTTTCTGATTAAATTATATCCTCTGGAAGCTGGGCTTCAGCAGCTCCTGGGTGTTTTTCCTCGTTTTCTTCTCTCTTTGCCCTGAAAATCTCCAACCAACTTATTGATATTGGAATCCACTAACTGCACATCTTGAATAATGAGAAATTGAATTTCACTAATTTGCTGAAATCTGGCTACAGATGCAAACCGACCACATGGTTTCCACTTCTGACACTTTTGGTGCCGCTGCTGTTGCGAAGTATGGATGCTGTTTTTCATGCTTTGTGAGGTTGTTTCCTTTCCTATTGTCAGACACGGCATTCAACAGCCCATTTAAACAGTCATGAATAGCAACAATTCACTGATGAAGGACATGTGGTGCAAATATTTAAAACACTTTTTCTTTTCCTGTCAAAGAGAAGCCAGAAAAAAACGTTGATTTGATGACAGATGAGAGGGATAGCCTTGCTTTGCAGAAGTATGCAAGAAAAAGTAATTGCAGGGTAGAAGACTCATTAATAAAATACTGAAGAGTTGTAGTCTGACTCAAGATTCATGTATTTTTGTTGGCAGATATGGTATTTGTTATCCATCTACAAACACAAACAGAGGAGCTACAGACATCATTTGTGCAAAATAAAAGCTGGAGATGAAATATACTCCACGTGCCCTATGGACCCTGTACATGTTATTGTTTACATCTGGAAATTTTGTGCTTGTTCACAACACTCTGGCAAAAAGGCGGTTCTTTTCCGTGCCCTGCATGGCGGCGCTGCTGCGGAGGAGCAATCCTGTTAACCAGATGAAACCTGGAGATGAGCATTATCAATGAAGTGCAGCGCCTCAAAGCAAAGGGAAAAACAACGCATAAACCGGTTGAACAACAACTCAAAACTGTCTCTGTGTTGGCTGTGCTACACGCAGACTCGTTGCCATAGCAACTGACAACAATACCACTGCATTGTTTCAGGATTTAGCATTAAAAAACGCTCAAGCATTACCACCAAAAACAGACATTCGGTCCGTTACAGTTTCATGATTTCATGCTTGATGTGGAAGATTAGCTACCTTTGTTATTAGCTCATTTAGACACCTGCTCTACCTGTTGGTGTTTATGTCACCTTTTTTATTTTTTAACTGGACCGAAACGCACCTTATTCCACATCACATCTGCATGTTAAAGTCAAGTAAAAAGAACTGAACTACTTCCCTCTCCTTCAGTATTTTTGTCTTCATAAAACTTTTTCTTCACCTTGTTATCTAGTTGTTGCAGAGTTGGCCGGTAGCAGCCAAGCTCTGAGTCCATTTTTCCTTTGTATATCAGGGATATGTTTAAGACTTATGTTGATAACTTATCAGCTGAAACCAATGCTAGTCGTTGTCAGCTAGCAGCTTTTTGGCCCTCTCGGATGGGGATGGGGGCGGGATCTTTCAAACGTGACGTCACAGGTTTGAAAGGAGTCCATATAAATATTTTGAGCAGTTTTTTCTGCAGTCTGGATCCAGGTGGGTTGTGATGCTCAGACATGCCATCACTAGCAGCCGTTATTGCATGAATTTGGTGTGGACTGCTGTTGTAAGTTAACACCTTGATGGGATTTATTTTTTATTTTGTTGACTTACTGCAGCAAACTGCAACATAGGGGTGGGTCATATGAACATAAACTATTATCAACTACCATCATAAACTATTCCTCTGGAAAACTATTTAACTACTAAAAATATCTTGTTACAAGTGAAATAATCTGACAATGTAACTAGTTATTTTTTATCAATAATGGGGAATTATCGACTTAAAACAAGCATCAATATATGGATGAAAAGTTACTTGTAAGTCATTTGTCGTACTTTAAGTGTACCATAATATTTGCACCAGAAACTAGACAAAAATACTCAGTAATACATTTTGTGCTTTTGCAGTGTGGGTTTCATTATGCAGACTGACTTCATTCTTTAGTGCGATCTTGTGCATGAAACCGTGTCGGACTCTTTGCAGATTGGCACAGCTTTAGTCAAAAATAGACCAGGTGCATATTTTTAGCGCATTGTGTTGCACTAAAAATATATTTGTGTTTGTCAGCAGCGTGGTAATCAATGAGGTTCGAGGTAGTGACGGCTGCCTAAGCTCACAATGAGCAGCAGAAACGCAGGCTGCTTCTCTTCGCCAGATGATTTTAGTAACGTGAAGCTTTGCTCTTGT